AATAATTTCAACTGTAGAATATGACCGTTGTTGAAGTGCCCTGCCAGTGACGTACGAAAATATCTCTAATGTTGGGTGTATTTTCGACATGATCAATAATTTTATGAATATAAATCTGAACACTAAGCCCATTTTGAAAAAAATCAAATTTTTTTTAAGATCCGGTTTAATCACATTAATCATTTTATTTGATAAAACAATAAATAATTGTCAAAATAAAATAAAAATACCTTATCAAGTTGATTAGTATAATATTAAATATTCAAATAATACAGAGTAATTACTGGTTAATTAAATGCAAGTGATATTTTCAGTAACAAGAAAAAGCAACGGAGAAGTCGTTCTTTTGTACAGTTGTAGGTGTCCAGATTGGTCGCAGTAACGGTTCATGTTGAATTTTAATTCAATTATTAAAATTCATTAAATCAGCAGTCCCAACCCATGGGCCGTGGCCCACTTGTGGGCCTCCAGGATCCAGCAGCTTGGTACTGGGCCGTGAACCTTATAAATATATAATATTTAATATTATATATATATTTTAAATAATATTATTACATAATTTAATGTATACCTAATAATATTTCTGGTTATAATAATAATTATCAATATTATCTACACTCTGCGGTGTCAAATTGGTGTCAAATTATTAATTATTAACGCTAAATATACCAATCAACTGAATGTTGAAAGTGATTTAATTGTGTAAAACCATCCAATTTTCATCCCGATATTAACTTCTCATGAAGGACAAGTAATGTCAAAAATCACATTAAATTTTTTAGATTGTGATTAAGTTTAATAAAGTGTTTTTCGTGATAAACACTTGATTTTTTAATTCTTTTTAGTTCTAACAACTGACGTTTGTATATACATATATACTATGTATATATATTTATGCATTCGTATATAGGTTAGTTGTTTGTGGGCCTTAATGATTTGTTTACAAAATTGGTGGGCCACGTTGCATTAAATCATAAAATCATTGCTTTCGAATAATGATTCTAAGCGAAGATTGTCTCCCCATGATATTACTAAGTTACTAAGTATATTTCGTGAAAGACCTTTTTATTTAATTTATTTTTATATTAAACATATGGGTTACGGTATAGGTTTAATTGGTTTTTGCCAAAACCCTTGTGTTTGTATGCTATGAATTATTTACTTTAAAAGTTTCAAGTAAACACGAATAATAATTTAAATTACAGTAAATTAACTTGACTTATTATTCTTAGTAAAAATTTAAAATATCCATCTTCGTCCGGTTTGGGAATTTCAATTTTGAAGTATGTATAAAATCAAACTGTGTAAAAGTAGTAACTGTGGTACAGTATATGAACTATGTATGAGAAACTTTGTAGTACATTTTTAAATAGTAAATATAAATAGAAAAAATTGTGTTGACATTTATAGAAAAAAAAACTAAAAATTGAAATAATTATCAATAAAATGCTCAAAATCAGTCAAAATATTTTGAAATTTTATCGGGTATAGAAACGATAAAATAAATGATTCATGAAAGTTTTGAGGATCTACTGTTGTTGGTTTTCGAATTAATAAATGTTTTTCACAATAAGCAAAATAAATTTCAAAATAAAAAATAATTAACTTGATACACTCAATACACACTAGTATATTAATTGTGTCTAGACATTATTAATCTACAAAATAGTAACAAAATGTAATGTTCCAAAAAAATGAGAAACTTAACTTACAAGAGTTATTTACTGACCTGTAGTTAAATCGTAAAATTTTTTCACAACCACCTAAAGTCATAGTATAACACATATTACTTTATTACCATCAAAAATATTATGATAAATGTTTGTGTTTAGTTTATTATAATCAAACAAGAGAAGAACTGTCCCATTTTATAAGTGAATAATTTGGAAGTACAAGAAAATTATAAATATTTAAGCATCTATATTCATAAAGGATATTGTAGTGCTGATTCATAAATGTCGGAGAGCCGATCCTATTGGCTATTACAGTTATCGACTTGTAATTTTGATTATAGACTAATATTCTAATTACAACTTACACTCAGAAAGGATTTTTCAAAGTTTTGATTTTATTCATTGAAATCGGCAAAAATAAAGTAAAAATTGTATATCTATATTCGTATTGTCTGCTTACATAATAAACTGTTATATACCTTATAATAACAGTCGACTGATAACGTTTAGTGCACTTGTTCCCTGGAAATGTCAAACATTATTTTTTATTTATATTTGTTATAATGTTAACTTATCTTTAGATTATTTTAAGTATTTTTCATATTATAATAGTTGTATATATTTAATAAATTCCACCCGATCTCACGATACAAGCAGAAAGATATTACTTAAAAAAGATGTACAAGAAC